ATTTTCCACTGAGCAATTAAAAAAATACACACATTTTACATAAAGCCCTTTGTAAGATGCGGGCTGTACTTGTGAGAACAATTTTTTTGTAGTTCTTTAAGGCATGGGCTACCAGGAATCTTTTCCAACCAATCCGAGTGCTCCATCTACAGCTGGAATTGTTGATGTTCTCATGTGCCACATTTTTTAGATTTCGATTTCAAGGTCCTTGTATTTTGATAGATTTTGAAGATTTTCAAAGATACATTGCAGTCTGCAGGGACTGTCGTATTACTAAGGAGATCTCATCTTTTTATAGTTGAAATAACTAGATATAACCGTAAGTTCTATGTTAACCGTTTCTTTTAGCACATTTTGCGCTTGGGAAACTTTCTTCCGACCTCTTGCTTTCTAGTCAAAATTGAAATGCAATGTCAATCTTTATCTTCTGTCCTTTGAAATTCTGTTCTTTTATTTTTATCACTCCTTAATGTTTTTCTTACATTATTTCACACTTTGTACCCCCCTCCACGTCTTAGTGGCTTTGTTGCCTTTTTTGGGATAATGAATTTATCATTTTAAACGTGGATACTCGTTTTTGACGGTCGAAAATTCAGGAGGGTAGACGAAAATATATTAATAATCATTTAATTCAAATCCCTTAGATTTTTTAATTTAAATTTCTTGATTAATTATACAAAAAGCTTATAGTAATTTGCAAAAAAAAAAAAATTCGAAAACAATTTAAAACTGTTCTGAACCAGACACTTTTTTAATATCATTTATAGAGAATTTGTTGAATGAAATACAGCGGATTAACCCCGATCTACCTATTCTTTAGTTTAAAGTACATTCATATCTTGCTAAATATTAATAAATACATCTAAGATATAAAAGTTCAAGACTCTAGCTATATAACATTTATAAATATGTTTCTCTGAATATAATTAATAATCATTTAATTAAAATCTCTTAGGTATTTTAATTTAAATTTCTTGGTTAATCATATAAAAAGCTTATGAAAATTTTTCGCTAATTTCGAAATCTTTAAAAATGTACGCTTTTAATATTATTTACAAGTAATTTGTTGAATGAAATCTATCGGCGTTGGAATTTTGGCAGTTGACAGAAACAGACGAATTTACACTGCATTCAGGGTAAACGGACAGTCTTGTTCATACAAAAACGCAACTAAAATAAGTGTAGCGAAACAAGTTGTTATTATTTTCCCTGTCTGTTATTACTGTGGTTACCTGACCCTAGCGGAGAGGGTCGCAAAGGAAGGGCGTTTTCTTTTGCAACCCAAGTTGAACGTAAAATAAAGTCATAATTTGCTTGTTGTTTGGTAAAAATTGTTTCCAATCGTCAGTTTTTACTTTTCATTGTTTTATCATTTGATTGTTTCATTGTTTTATCATTTCATTGTTTTATCCTTTTTTCATTGTTTTATTCTTTATTGGTAGACGCGTTTGGGATACAATATGAAATGTTTAAATGGTCAGTGCCCATCTCATCACGTTTTTTTTAACTCTCAATTATACAGTGCTTTGCAAAAGTAAGGGGGCCCCTGAGATAATATTAGAAAAGTATCTCTTTTTTCCAGATAATCAACAAATCTTAATTAAACTTTAGCATCCCGCTACCACCTTTTTTTTTTTTATATCAATATCAATTTTCGTACAAAAAGTGGATCATAGAGCTTATTCAGCTTAGTAAATATTTTCAGAAAATCTCAACTTCTAATTAGTCACTTAATATTTAATAACATCGACCTAGTTCTTGACCTGACCAAAAAGATAATTCTGCTAAAATCTGTCAAGCTTCTGTGAGCCTATCACGTGACGAAAGTTAGCAATAAAATGTGAAACGTTTTCATCTTCGACAGTGCGCCGATCGGAATCCTTTGAACTCGTCACACAGTTCCAAACTTTACGTTAAAGTTCCTTAACATGATTCCCGCCTGAGAGAACACTCATTCACACAGCAATATTCTATGACGAACAATCAACTCAAGTTTTCCACATTCAACTTAATACACGAATCTTTTTCATACGCTTTCAAGTTCAACGTTAATTATTGCAATTAACATAAACACAGCTTGTTAAGAACCACTTACCCCAACTAGAATATTCTCTTCGAACAAGTGAAAACAAATCAAAGAGCGACAATTCCGTAAACCTTAAAGTAAGTCGTAAACTATATTTCTCTATTTCAAATACAAACTTGAACTGTTTATTTTTTTCTTAAATTACTATAATACCAAAACACACTTTCTCATTAGTGTACAGGCCATTCAACAAATTATAATCTATCAAACCAGAACTTTGGTAACCTTTCATCTAAACATAAAAGGACGTTTGAACTTTTTAAAACTACCTTTTTACTCCAGTTGTTTGTACCTCTTTGTTATATAAATATTTTATTCATTGTTGTGCAAAAACTGTTGTTTCTCATGTTGTCCTTATTCTATGTTTGTTGAATACTGAAATTTAATGTGAGAGGAAATTGTTAATTTCATCACGCAGCCTAATTTACTCAACAATTTTTGATCAATATAATTTAATCCATTAACACAACCTCCACAAAACTATATATTCATTAAGAAGAACCTTTATTAAACAAATTACAACCACTTTGAAAACAAAAATATTAATTATAAATTAAGTTGTGCAGAAATAAGTGAATTCTTACATTTATAATCTGTATTTATGTTTTACATGGTTACTAGTACAAATAATTTTTTGTGTACATGTAAAAAGTCAAAAGGATATGTGATCATTTTTCTGGTGAGTTGTGCAATACTGTACTGCAGTCAATCGATATAACTCATTGTGTATGCAAAAGAGTGCAATTATAGACTAAATAAAAAAATATGCCAAGATCAAAAGAACTTCCCGAAGCTTTAGAAAATCGTCTAGTTGAAGCCTATAATAATGGAGAAGGCTATAAAAATCTATCAAAACGATTAGGAGTGCACGTCTTCACCGTGTAACACTTTATTTATAAATGGAAGGCTTTTGGTATGATGGCATCGCAATCAAGAAATGGCTGTCCGCGAAAAATAACTGCAAGACCATATCACACATTCGGCGGAGGAGGGGGCGTATTCAACATTCGATAATTTTTTTTGCGTAATACGCACTTAAAGGTTTTAGGCAGTTTTGATCAAAATTTCTTTTCGTGGTTACCCGTAGTTGCTTACACTTAGTTAAAATAATAATAATAATAATTATTATTATTAAGAATTTATTTACATTATTCGGACTATTGTTTTCATCTTTGTCGCCATATTTATCACAACGTTTCGGCCGTTGTACTCTCCGGCCTTCTTCAGGTGGTTGGAATGTCGAATTGAACCCTTTATTTCGCTCACTGGGTGCTGTAGAGTAGTTTTCACAGTGGAGGCTTGTATTTCAATAAGTCGTCCTAAATTAGGTTCGACGTACAAAACGTTAGGAACTTGAAATAAGAGTTAATGACGCAGCGATCTAGTTGTGATGGTTGGTACTTCAATGTCCGATATCGACTAACTCGCTCAACACCACTGAGCCCAACTGGCCACTGCTATTACTACTTATTATCTGTGGGAGAGTCCATTACAATAGAATAGGTATTATGGTATAACACTGGGGTAGACTGTTCTAGTTCCACGTAGCATGTTTGATGGATATCAGTTATCTCCTGTTAATTTCCCTCTGAAAGTTCTCCACTGCCTTAACCGGGTATTGAACTCACACCCTTTGTGTCCTGTAACTGGATCTAACTAACGCCTTTATCCACTGTGCTATGTGTCCTCAATACCCGATTAAGGCAGTGGAGAACATTCAGAGAGAAATTAACAGGAGATAACTGATATCCATCAAACATGGCACGTGGAACTAGAACAGTCTACCCCAATGAGCGAAATAAAGGGTTCAGTTCGACATTTCAACGACCTGAAGAAGGCCGGAGCGTACAACGGCCAAAACGTTGTGATAAATATGGCGACAAAGATGAGGACAATAGTCCGAATAATGTAAATAATGTACATAATACCTCATCTCAGAAATATCGACAGACTCTAAGAATTTATTACAGGAAATATAAAGTTTTACGGAAACATTGTTGACAATTATTTATTTAGTTACATAATAAATAAATAAAAATAATATAAATTTTGATGCTATATTCGATTTGTTGTTAGGTATTTTTCATTTTCTCCTTTGTTATTGGCAGCATTTTAGAATACTTTGGTTGCAATGCTAAGTTTCCTAAGTTGAACAAATTGGAGCTATTTCGTTTACGCTTTGTTACCTCTCTTTTCCATCGTTGTTTTTAGATCGCTTTCTTCCAGTCATTTTGATGGCCAATAGCAAAATTTAGAATGACTCCATTTAAAAAATGAAGCCTATAAAAGGGAATATTTTAAATTAATATACGACCAAAAATGAAATGCTTTTGATAAAAAACCTGAATGATTTCACTATAATTATGTAACAATAATGTAATGACATTCCGCAGACAAATCTACGGTTTATGTTACCTTATCTCATTGCATGGTTACGAATTATAAACTTAAACTGAGTTTGTAATATTGTGCAATCGGCTGTAATATTTTACTTGGATATGATATTGTTGCGGACTTGCGAATGTATTTTGAGTGATCAGAAGGATTTTTAGTGTTGGTGTTCTAAAAACATTCGTCTACAACAATTAAAGAAAAATATTGGAAACAAATCATGACGTATTGTTTCAAAACGTAACAATTGAATTTATTAAGTATTTGATATACATGCATGGGAACTGAAAGGGTTAGACAGAGTTGTGTCTCTTAGACTTGGAAATATTTATACTTGAGCACATAAAGTGAAAGTAATTATTAAACTGTAGTTTAGAATAATAAAGTTTCTTTAGCATGTTTGGAATTGTGGATTGGTAAAGTTGGTAAGAGTTCAGAAGAGATTTTAGAGTTCGTGAATGTTAATAATGGTCTTTAACGTCTGACCGCAAAGGTTAAGACGGGAGTTCATGAAGATTACATCTTAGCAGCAAGGAATGAGACGAGAGAGAGAGAGAGAGAGAGAGAGAGAGAGAGAGAGAGAGAGAGAGTTTACACGTGTTTTGTTTTTATAATTTTGTTGTATCACGTGACAGGCTCCGACTGAGTTGGCGCCAAAATAGATCTGTCGCGTGGGGGTGATTTGATTGGTCGAAACTGACCAACCAGCAAGCTAGATTGAAGGTGATTAACCAATGAATTCTTGTTATATATTTTGTAAGATGGTGGTGGTGAAAGTTACAACAGGTATAGTGCATTTCCTTGCAGGGGTGACTGGCTCACGTGGAAGGTTCCACAATATAATGAATAATTTGTAGTGAAAAAAGTAATTTTCTATTTTTGTTGAAATTTCCCCCACCGACCGTGTCATATACCCAATCCTGTGTTCTAGAGAGGTCACTCCAGTCTCACTACCAAAGGACTTAATTTTGATCAAATATGGCGCTACATTTATCCTGCGGCATAAACAGATACCTACTTTTATATCTTCTCTAGTGTTACGAATGTTACAAATAGATTGGACATATCAGGTTTACGTTTTTTCATAGCCGACGAGGGCTTGAACCTAAAATAACTACTTGAAAGCAAAACAAAACAATGAGTGATTTAATTTGGCCCGACAGAAAACTCATTACAGATAACAAATGTCAAGTGAAGTAAATATTTATTGGCCAGTGGGTCATTACAGCGGAAGAAGGCTCCGGTGTTAAGCAAATAAGTAAAACGAAAATGCCTGTTATTGATCAATGGCCCTCTGTTATCATCAGCGCCAACAGTTGACCTGCAGGGAAGTGCAACAAACGCGTTTTTTTATTCGCTCGCTCTTGTTCGAAGCTTACGTGACCGTATAAGACTCTAAATATAGCAGAAAAAGAGTAACTTGTTTGTTCGACCTTTCTGCAAGAAATAATTTCTTTGCCAGATTTTTACAGGAGAGTTGTCGACGTTTATGCATACAGAAGCATTTAGCGAGTATAGATATTATTATTATTATTATAAATAAATAAAAATAAAATAATAATGATGAAAATTATAAATAAAATGAAATAAAAACATTTAAACCGTGTTTAAAATAAATCAAATAAAAATAAAAATAATAAAATTACTCATCTTTGTTGCCATATTTATCCGATCCTTCAGTATCTGTCGATATTTCTGAAATGAGGTATTATGTACACTATTTACATTATTCGGACTATTGTTCTCATCTTTGTTGCCATATTTATCCGATCCTTCAGTATCTGTCTATATTTCTGAGATGAGGTATTATGTACACTATTTACATTATTCGGACTATTGTCCTCATCTTTGTTGCCATATTTATCCGATCCTTCAGTGTCTGTCTATATTTCTGAGATGAGGTATTATGTACACTATTTACATTATTCGGACTATTGTCCTCATCTTTGTTGCCATATTTATCCGATCCTTCAGTATCTGTCTATATTTCTGAGATGAGGTATTATGTACACTATTTACATTATTCGGACTATTGTCCTCATCTTTGATATTTATCCGATCCTTCAGTGTCTGTCTATATTTCTGAGATGAGGTATTATGTACACTATTTACATTATTCGGACTATTGTCCTCATCTTTGTTGCCATATTTATCACTGGTTCGATTCAACGCTAAAGCAAAAGTATCTCATTATGGTAACCTTCTTTCTCTCTCCCTTTCTCTCTTTCCCTCTCTCCCTCTCTCTATCTTCCCCTTCTCTCTCTCCCTCCTACACATACGCACACAAGTTAAAGTTTCATGATTTAAGCCAAAGGTTCACAAACTGAGATACGCGAGTGAAATTCAGCAGATACGCGATCAAGTTTCTCGTTTTTTCGACACTTGTTCCCTTTTTATTATTCGAAGTTCGCAGACCTTCTGTCCTTTTTCTTATCCCGATTGAAAGAAAAAAAAAACTTGCTTTCGGCATCACTCCCCCACCGCACCTTCATTATCACCTCTTCATGAATTCCCTTGGAATTAATCCCAGATCTCTTCCAGACAATTGTCAAGATGAATTTGATTTGTAGAATCCATGCTTTGAATATTGCTGTCACATCTAATCTGGTTCCATGATTGCCAACGTCTTGAAGAGGCAAGGCGCGTAGAAGAAGAAGAAGAAGAAGAAGATGAAAACAGACTAAATTAGTTTCAATTGTTTTTATTGAGTTATTCTTATTTATACTAATAATATTCGGACTATTATCTATATATTTAGAGATTCTTGATAAAATTCAAAGAAGAATCTGCAATGTTATTGGTCCTGATCTGGCATCATGTCATTTCTTACCACCATAACATATCTTCCTTATGCCTTTTCTATAAATACGTCCATGGTAATTGTTCTGATGAACTTTCCCCTACGGTACCTAGACTTTATGAATTTAAGCGCCATACTAGATTGTCGGTAATTTTCCACTTGAAATAGCTAGATGTAACCGTAAGTTCTATGCTAACAGTTTCTTCTCTTGCACTTCTTGTTTGTGGGATTCTCTTCCGGCTTCTTGCTTCCCAGTCAAGTTTGATCTTCAAAGATTTAAATGCAATGTCAATCGTTATCTTCTGTCTTCTTAATTCTTGTTCTTTTATTGTCTTCTTTCCTTAATAGTAGTTTTTCTCATATTCTCTAACACTCAGTAACCTCTTGCGCCCTAGTGGCTTTATTGCCTTTGATCTTCAAAAATTTAAATGCAATGTCAATCGTTATTTTCTATTTTCTTCATTCCTGTTCTTTTATTTTTCTCTCTCCTTAATAAATTTTTTCACATATTCTCTCACACTCAGTAACCTCTTGCGCACTAGTGGCTTTATTGCGTTGCTTAGTGTTCAATGGCGAAGTTATACTCATCCATGTTTAAACATAATGTGTGGAAAGTCTTATTATTCCAATCCACTTATCGAAAAAGGGTTGAAAGTTTTGTGGGACACCAGGAACCTCTTCTCGTCACCGTAAAACGGGAAAAATGGCGTGGTTAGAATACATTACATGCACGGTAGCCTTTGCAAGACCATCAGGCAAGGTACCGTTGAAGATGAACGTAGGAGAGGATGCCAATGCAAAAACTGGTTGGACAATGTCAAAAAATGGACAGGTATGATTGTACCAGAATTGATGACGGCTGCTGTTGATAGACCGTCGTGGAAAAGAGTTGATGTTTCTTCTCTATTCGGATTCGCCCTATGATTACAAAAATCAAGGGGATGATAATGATGATGATGATGATGATCCATTTACCATCGTGAAAAAGGTTTTCAAGCAATGTCTATGGTCAAAACCAATTTTCGTACAAGACTGTCAATTGAAAATGATATACGCGAGCGCTTCTTTGAAACGGTTCCTGAAATTGGTTTACTTGTTGAAAATAACCATGTCCATCCACCCCATTAAATATGTAACTATGTATTGACTAAATCATTACAAAAAACTAACCGTAGTTAGTTAACCGTCTCCATGCGATCTCCAAGATCTAACACAATGTCGTTTAACGTCGGGTACCAACAGGCTTACATATGGTACAAGAGCAAAGATTGCCCAGTCACCCCCCTCTTTAATGCGATGAAGAATTATCTACAGAAACGTACCTCTCCATGAAATAATTATTTACAAGTTTTTATTTTATTTTATTTTTTTATTCTAGCATTGGTTAACCACTCCAGATAAGAAACTCCAAATTTTAGGAGGGGTTTCAGTTTTCATTGATAACTCTACACTAACCCCAAAATGATAACGGCAGGTCAGAGGAAATAATAATAATAATAATAATAATGATAATAATGTTTTCACAAATACAGCTCACACCTTACGAAGCTATGTAAAATGTGTGTAATGTTAGGTTATTTATTTTTGCAAAAATGTTCAGTGGAAAATGTCATGATGCTATTCCTAAATTTTGGTTCCTGGTTGGGAGGAGGAGGAGGAGGAGCTTGAAGAATTATTATTATTATTATTATTATTATTATTATTATTATTATTTCTTTTTCTTCTTACATCTTACATTATGTAAAATGTGTGTGATCTTAGGTAATTTATTTTTTTTACACAAATGTTTAGTGGAAAATGTCATGAAGCCATTTCTGACCTTAGGTCTCTGGTTGGGACCCGGAAGAAAATGAGTATACAACAGAAATCGACGGAAATAATAATAATAATAGTAAAGGGAAAAGGTCAATAAGAATATTCTTTAAGTTCATATTTCGTGTCTGTTTTGAAATTATTTAGAATGCAGGCCTAAATTTAACTCAACACAGGTAAAATGTAAATTGCTTCATCACATAGTATAAGCATATTTTATTTTTGCTTCCGTAGGGTGATCAATTTACACTTGATTTACATAAGTGTTGCTGTCACTACTTCTAGCCCAACTAAAAGCAGTGGCAACCAAAATTTTCACGTCTTATTGACGTATTGTCATCATTTGTATAGGAAAAAAGAATAAATTAATTAATAAATATCTAGTAAATGATTATCAAAAGAGAGAAAATATACTAATATGTACACAGCGGAAATGGAAAGGAAAAACATTAAAACTTAGTTGTTAGGAAATGTGTGTGTGTATATGTGTGTGTGGGTGCGAGTGTGCGCGTGTGTGTGTTAAAAAACACTCAGTAACTTCTTGCACCCTAGTGGCTTTATTGCCTTTGATCTTCAAAAATTTAAATGCAATGTCAATCGTTATTTTCTATTTTCTAAATTCCTGTTCTTTTATTTTTCTCTCTCCTTAATAAATTTTTTCACATATTCTCTCACACTCAGTAACCTCTTGCGCACTAGTGGCTTTATTGCGTTGCTTAGTGTTCAATGGCGAAGTTATACTCATCCATGTTTAAACATAATGTGTGGAAAGTCTTATTGTTCCAATTGTGCGTGTGTCTTATTGTTCTTATTGTGTGTGTGTGTGTGTTAAAAAACACACACACACGCACACTCGCACCCACACACACACACACACACACACACACACACACACACACACACACACACACACACACACACACACACACATTTCCTAATAACTAAGTTTTAATGCAAAAATTTAGCCGTCACTCGCCCGGGGGAAAAGAAGTCCCCCGCCCTAGTGGAGATAAGACGCTTCTAGGTTGAA